TTTGGTTTGAAACCGCAATAAGCATTTTTTTCATTATTTCGACAAGTTTATTTAAATTATAATTAAACAATGCCTTATCCTTTCCTACTCAGTAAGTATCTAACTACTGACGGCCATATCGTAGTACTATTGACGTCTACACCCTATTACTATTGACGGCCATATCGTAATACTATTGACGTCTTCACCCTATTACTATTGACGGCTATATCGTAATACTATTGACGTCTACACCCTATTACTATTGACGGCTATATCGTAATACTATTGACGTCTACACCCTATTACTATTGACGGCCATATCGTAATACTATTGACGTCTTCACCCTATTACTATTGACGGCCATATCGTAATACTATTGACGTCTACACCCTATTACTATTGACGGCTATATCGTAATACTATTGACGTCTACACCCTATTACTATTGACGGCCATATCGTAATACTATTGACGGCCATATCGTAATACTATTGACGGCCATATCGTAATACTATTGACGTCTACACCCTATTACTATTGACGGCCATATCGTAATACTATTGACGTCTTCACCCTATTACTATTGACGGCCATATCGTAATACTATTGACGTCTTCACCCTATTACTATTGACGGCCATATCGTAATACTATTGACGTCTTCACCCTATTACTATTACCGGCCATATCGTAATACTATTGACGTTTTCACCCTATTACTATTGACGGCTATATCGTAATACTATTGACGTCTTCACCCTATTACTATTGACGGCCATATCGTAATACTATTGACGTCTTCACCCTATTACTATTGACAGCATCGTAATACTATTGACGTCTATACTCTATTATAATTGACCGCCACATCGTAATATTATTGACGTAAACAGCTTAGTACTATTGACGTCTACATCTTCTAGCGATTTACGTCACATCCTATTACTATTAGTCACATTATATTTCTATTGACGTATACGTGGCATTCCTCTTTATATATATATACCCGATTACCATCGACGGATTAACCCATATCATATCACTATTGACGCCAACATACTATTTATATCGACGCATACTTCCTATATATATATTGACGTCTACAATCTAGTATTCCTACTATTAACGCCTACATTCTATTACTATTAACGCTTACATCCTATTACTATTAACGCCTACATATTATTACTATTGACGCCAACATACAATTAACATTGACGCTTACATCCTATTATTATTAACGCATCATTACTATTACTATTGACGCTTACATCCTACTATTATAGACGCCTACATACTATTATTATTGACGCCAACATACTATTACTTTTGACGCCTACATACTATTACTGTTGACGCTTACATCTTATTACTATTGACGCCTACATACTATTACTATTGACGCTTACATTCTATTATTATTGACGCCTACATCCTATTATTATTGACACCAACATACTATTACTATTGACGCTTACATACTATTACTATTGACGCTTACATCTTATTATTATTGACGCCTATATACTATTACTATTGACGTTTAAATCTTATTACTATTGACGATTACATCTTATTACTATTGACGTCTACATACTATTACTATTGAAGCTTACATCCGATTACTATTGACGTCTTCATCATATTACCCTAACTGTCACTCTACCACTGTCCATATTCGGGATTGTTTTCCGTCATTTTTATCGGTATTAATCCCATTTTTTAGTGACAACAATCCAAATAGATGGAGGTCTTCAATAATGAAACTTTAAAGCGAGATCTTAATTGTCTCGAGTATATAACTTATTATATTTGGATCATTTGACAATTTCCTTTTTAAGATTACACATTTTGAGCTGTTATTGTATTCGGCATCCATGTTAGAACATATTTAAGATCTACTATCATTGACATTAGTTCGTATAATGTGTTAATACTTTTTACGTTTAGGAAAACTTTACAGTTTAATGCTGCGCACACACGTAATTCGAATTCGATTCGCATTAACTAATTCGGATTAGTTTAATTCGCATTCGAAACGTTTATCGTCCAAACGTAAATTCTAATTCGAATTGCAATGCGCGTCAAATTCGCTTTACTGTCCTAACAACGTTAACTTTTAATTCGTATTACAAAAACGCATTTCTAATGTGAGTTGGATAATGCGATTTAGCCAATTCGAATCAATTCGAATTAAAAAAAGAAGAGTGTGTGAACGCGATTAGCGAATTCGATTCGCATTCGATTCGAATTCAATTCGAATTAAATGTACGTGTGAACGAGGCATGAATCGCATAAAGATATATAATTGTTTTAACATTTTGTATTACTGTGGATTCATTTATTTTCGTGGGTACCAACTTTTGTGGATTGAGTGAGGAAAACTAGCATTTTCGTGAATATTTGATTTCGTAGTTTTAACAAAGTCTGCGAACATTTCTTCAGAAAACTTGTAATTCGTTGAACATTTAAATTCGTGGTTCTCCTGTACCCATGAAATCAACGAAAATTGGTATCCAACGAATAATAATGAATCCACAGTATCTGCGTTTGATTAAAAAAACTGAATTTTCAAATATATGCAAAAAGTCTTTTGTGCAAATACTGATTTTTCGGACATTAAGCCTGAAATGCAAAGAGTTTATATTAATTTCAAACCTCATATCAAGTATAGTATTCTATTTTTTTTTAAATGTATATTGTAAAAAAAAGTACTTCGACGGGTGTATCTTTAGGGGCAGACACTACTTATTTTTCCTGTGCATCTCATTTCACCCCGGTTTGGCGGAGTTCTTGTTTCTCAAGTTAAAGTAAGTTATCTGTGCAGAATGATGTGAACTGGCGTTTGTCTTTTTATCATTTTCAAATTGCATACAAGTATTCGTCAAAAACGATAAATGAAAAATAACGTATGAACAATAGTTGCTTTAATCCACTTCATTCGGACTCTGTTAGATATGTTTGTCATTGGCAATCATACAAAATCTCCTTATTCTATACTGAGAAACTAATAATGCACCAACATGGTTTTTTAAAGAAGTGGTGATCTTTACTTATTTCTTTTCATGGTACCTGTGTCCATGAGAGTATATTGTATATCACATTTAAGATATTCGGAGAACTAGCTAGAAAATGCTAGTTCCAAATAAAAAAAATCTAAATCATCCAAATTCTTTTCGAAAATGGACAATAGATCGGACGACAGCACCGAATTCATGAATAAACAAATCAAAAAGATACAACGACAACCAAATTATTTGGCAGGACATAGTTATGCTTTATCGGTACATGTGCTGCTACTATTCAATCAATAAACTGTATCTTCCTAGACAGATGTCTAAAATGATGTTGAAAATTTCGAAACGTCTTTAATTTGTTCGCTTATGCTATTTTTTTTATGGTAATCATGTATATCTTTTTGTTTTGCCTTGACCCGTATATAGGTGTAATTTCTAAACATAAACAGTGAAATAAAAACCCGAATCTACTAATTACAAGCAGAAACGATAAACTGCTATCCATCCTAGTCCTTGGTTCGTGGGAAGTTTGAAATTTTCTATTTATGGAACACCTGCGAGGTTTTAGATCTAATCGGCGAACTTGGTCAAGTAATTAGGATATAAGCATGGGAAATGAGTTTCTCTTTCTCTCAATTTCATAAAGATATGCCCAAAAGACGGTTTCCTTAAGAATGGGGATAAAATGATGTCTGTTGAGTACAAAAAGGGCACTTAAGGTTTCCCCATTAGTCATTGTTTCATATGTCTATATAAACAGTAGGTGTTTAATTCATCCAAATGCTGTTCGTTTATTGGCTGAAAGCGAACCATTTGATTACGTCACTTGCATTCAATTCTTAGGAATGCAACCCAGGATTGTAGTATACACGTATAATAATTAGCTCTGAGTACCTGATTAATCATCACAATCTTCTCACATATTTTTTTTTTAATTGCAATCGATAAAGTAGTTGACCTATATTTTTAAAAATAGTCCCCTACCGGTTAAAAATTCATTGTACTGGAACAATATGCTAACTTGATCTATAACTTGTCATGGTGTAAACTATATAACAAATATCAAGTCAATATCTTCAAACATGACGAAAAAAGTGTGGAAAACTTATTATTTAAGTGAATTATCTAAGTCCAAGGACTATAGCTCTGCGCAAAATCATCAGAACGGAAATTCAAACTTGATCTGTAACTTGTCATGATAAACTGTATACCACTTATCAAATCCATATCATCAAGTGACGAAAAAAAGTGAGGAAAACTGATTATTTGAGTGAATTTTCTAAGTCCAAACACCATAACTCTGCACAAAATCATCAGACCGGAACAAAATTCGAACTTGATCTGTAACTTGTTGATAAAACTATATACGAATTATCAAATCAATATCTTCAAGCATGACAAAAAAAAGTGCGAAAACTAATTATATTTGAGTGAATTTTCTAAGTCTAAGGACCATCACTCTGCACAAAATCATCAGACCGGAACAAAATTTGAACTTGGTCTGTAACTTGTTATGATAAAACTATATACCAATTATCAAATCAATATCTTCAAGCATGACGAAAAAAGTGCGGAAAACTGATTTGCCGGACTGACGGATAGACAGACAGACAGACGGACGGAGTGCAAACCTAAAGTCCCCTTCAACTTCGTCGGTAGGAAACTAATTAAGGAAATTAGATAAATATTTAACGAGCTTTATATTTTTTTGAAATTGATATCTTAACAGCTTTCAATTCTATAATGAATTGAACAAGATAATCATTTATAGACTGCAACAGCATTTTCATAACAATGGCGAGAACAGGTCCTAAAATTAGGGTAGGAAATAATTATAAAAAAGGTAAATGTTCAGACTCGTCAAATATCTTCTTTTGTTACACGTTACAGTCAGGGTTATTTGAATCGATGAAATGAAACATAGGAAATGTATGGTACTTGCCTGTCCATTGTGTTACAAGCACATGTTGCATTTATATAAAACAAAACTAAAGCAAAAACTATAACTTCGGCATTTTTTTATTTTCGTTTTTTCAACTAACATGAAAAAATATTTCAACTACACTTGATAATTTTTATATAGCCATGCACAATGTTTTTGACAGTTCGCCATAACCGTCTGATATTTTCTGAAAAAAGATATGATGAAACGTACGAACAGACAAAACAACAAATTCATTGACATTGGTAACACTAGGAACTTATTTTTAGTTGTTACATATCTATGTTACATTCTTATTCCTCAACGGAAAACGGTAGACAGCTATCGTTTGAAATAACAGTGAAAACCATTTGACAATTCGGGGTGTTAACAGCTATCCTTGATAATAACAACGAAAAACATTCTGCAGCTTTGGTGTTAACAGCTATAGTTCAAAATAGGTGAAAATCAACAAATTATGTGTTAATAACTATAGTTTGAAATTACAGTAAAAAACTTTCTATAGCTTTGGTGTTAACAGATATCATTTGAAATAATGTCAAAGAACAAGGAAATGAATACAAAGTAAAACTAAAAGTTCTGTTATTGGTTTTATGCTCGGCTAATTTGTTTGCAAATGCTGTTACTTCTATTTTTATTTTCTATTCTGAAAAGAGAAAAGCTTGGACAGATTTGCTTTCATTTAAATAAAGCCAGATTATTCATTTTTGAAATAAGCATTTTTCACCTTCTGACCAAACAATCCTCCCTTTAAGATAAAAAATAATTAACTTTTTATATAAATTATATCTTTTATGTTAAGTCTGTTCATATATTTCACATATCGAAGTAAAATTATAATATACACTTTTTAATGGTACAATTATGTATAACAATCTCGTTATTTCAGTTCGTAAATTCACAAAATATAACAAATTGACTAAAAGATTACGACAGAGAAAATACAACACTAAATATGAATATAGCCTCTCTTTGGCTTCATCTTCTTTTTCAACTGCAAAATAAAACTATTCATTTTGCCCGAAAATTGAGGTAACGGAAACCGTTCTTTAAAAATCTTCATTTTTTTTTCAAAAACATATTTGTTGTTTTTACGTAAAAAAAACTTTACGAGAGTCAAAAAAATCGATTCAGCCTGCCCTACAGTAAAATAATTACAATATTATATCATATGAAAAAAGCTTAATTTGTCAAAACCCTGAGAAAAAGAACGGACATGCATATGAAAACATATCTATTGAAATGAACACTTTAAAAAAATATTTAAATATGGAACGTTGGAAGTAATTTTGACACATTTGGAAATTGGTATAAATAAGTAACCTTTGACCTAAATTCCTACTTCAAATGTTACTACCGATATTCAAGCGAAAGACTTGAAAAGCTTTAAGTACAAATGCACGTGCATTGTCGTTATTTTTACAATCCAATTATTTGCTTATGTAGACTATACCTAATGCCATTTGTCTATAATTCATTTACTAGTAGACAGTATTTTCTCTGTATTTCTATTCTAATATTTACCCTTCATATTCAATAAAATTTAACAACATAACAAACGTACATGGTATTTTTACCCTTTTGGAGAAATAAGGAGGCGATCCCGCCTTCAAAATACGAATATAAACACAAACATACAAAAGACAGCATGGGACAAACACGAACAATAACGTTGAGATAATTAAGAAATATTTATATCATATATTTTGTAAATAATTAATGTTGCAATAGGTATCGGTGTCAAAAGAATTGTTAAGTACACGTGCCTTTTGTGCTATTGATTATTTGGGATACGATTTCCTTTCATAAATAAATCTTGAAAATCAAATGTATGACTTCATTGAAAATGGTGTATAGTATTCTTATGAAAAAGCACGTTGTCAAATGTTTGTCCACATAAAAGTTTCAATATTGCAGTAGGAAAATTGCACCTTCCTGTACAAAATGTCTTTGAAATAAGAAGCACTAGTCATTTGACTTTATTTGGCATTAAAAATGGCACAGGTAGATTATGGTCGCGAAACATTGCACCGTCTTATCCGTCTTTTCGTAAATCTATATGATTGCACTTCATAAGTAAAATCCATAGCTGCACACCGCTGGAATGATAGCAGTTAATTGTAAGGTAAATATGATTTCCATACCTCATTGTGGGTATAAAATGATTGGACAGGTGTTGTCTATTATCTTCTGCTGTTAATTGATACGAAGAGGCGTTCCATACACTGAACCTTAAATTTCAAGATCAAAATATTACGCATAAAAAGCAGGATATACTGAATTTTTTTTGCCGTGACACTTTTACGACCTTCCGCCCGACTTCAAGAGTCAGTCAAGCAGATCTCGCACAAAGCAAGCATTTGTTAGGATCCATCATTGTTTTCCTTTAACGCCCCCTCTCGTCGTCTTGCAGATATTAAGATCAAACAAGTTTGAATTCTTTAACACAATGCAGCTTTGCTACAACATAAATAGAAACTTTTTTCGTGTACAGAGGAGCTGAAGATAGGCAAGATAAAAATCAACCCGTTTTTTAGAAACGCTTACAAACTGCATCACGTGTCATGCTTCTCGTTCAAACCACTTCCGAATGTACTTCAATAAAACTACGAAACTCCATCATGGTGAATCGTCACTTCCGGCCTCACTTTTTTCATCGTCTTTATCATCCATTTTAACTACTGACGTGTCATTAAGATCTTTTATAACCTGTCTCTCTTTCTTTAATTTCATTCTACGGTTTTGGAACCAAATTTTTATTTGTCTTTCAGTTAAACATAGATGATGTGCAACTTCTATCCGACGTTTTCTGGTGAGGTAATGGTTGAATTGAAATTCTTTTTCTAATTCTAACGTTTGGTATCTACTATAAGTTTGTCGCCCTCGTCGTCTGTGTGCTGAGTTTGGACCTGCAAAGATTAAACAGTGCTTTAGGTTTTTTTTAAATTAAGATTTCAAAAAAGAGGCGAATGATACCGAAGTGATATTCAAATTCATAAATCGAAAACAAGCAAACAACGCCATCTAAAAAAAAAACGAAAAACGACGAAAAGACAAACAACAGTACACAAAACACGAGCTATAAAGACTTAGCAACAGTAGCTCTAGCATGCATATGATTTATGAAAACGATGAACATATCCTAATGTTTTAAATGCCAAGAGTTAATGTTCATAATCTATAACTGTATTAAACCGGTCTGTATTAATGCAAATAAAATATATATAAACAAAAACGCGTGTTACATCAACATACAGAAATTTAGATTGTATGGGAGTTTTCTTTTTAAAGATCAAATGACTGATTGATGTGCACAAAGGTACAAAGACTGCTTTCAACTCAATATTGAATAGTATGATGATTTGTTGCCTCTTATCATTATATATATATAAAAACAGTTATCGCAATTTGATCTGCTTATATAGAGATTTCCTTATACCTGCACAATCTTTATAAAATGAAAAAAATAATGACTGGGATATTGCCATATGATTGCCCGGACTTCTCCTGTGAGGCAGAAAGATCCACGCTCAAATAATATAATGGAAGGCGTTCTTTTGACTTTGTGGGATGTGTAAATACGCAGCCACGTTCAGTGGCCAGAAATAAATATTGTGCCTCGTTTTGAAAGCACACACTCTGTACCGGCGAAAGATGAAAGTTGTGTCAAAAAAAAAACATATTCTCTCTGTTATCGCCCTCAATCCCGGTTGATACTATTTACATAAGTTTTTTTTGTATGTGTTGTTTAATTTGTTATGAATGAAATATTTGCCAGCGGAAGAAAAGATAACCAATACCCAATACAAAGAGATGTCTTTCCCGTGATCTAAAAATTTAAAATTCTACAAACTGAACTTATTCTGCCTTTCCTTAATATGTTAGTATAGTAATACATGTATCTGCTAATTTAAATTACTACTAAATGTCTAATACTGCAACCCAATAAATTATGTAATACACACAAACCTGCACACACACAACATTCAAAAGAACCATCAACCTAATCTACGAGAAAGAAATTTGAAGTTCTATCATAATTATTCCATCATTAAAATATTTTACAAAAAAAATAAAGGATGGAAATGCATCATATTTAGAATAATAACACTTTATACAACTCTTTGTTTAAATATCTTGATATAAATCGCTCGACTACACAATTCAGCGCATTATTAGCTAATGCACCAGCATCGGTTTTATCCACTGCCTAATTTTCCCATCTTAATTATTGATACAATTTTATTGATATTTTATGTTTCATGTAATTGATAATATCAGCAAGGCCAGAAATTGTAATTAACAAATTTTTGATGCAACATCGCTTGCATAGATGACACATAATCGGTTATTGTTCTATCATCTTTCTATTGATTACCTTCCCCGATCCATCTAAGGCTCGTGACACGAAACTATTCAGGTGAACACGGTACACCATCAATTAAACATTTGACGTTATCAATATTTAAGATACTCTATTCTTTAATTCGTATTGTTTCCTCACATTTTAACGCATGAAGTAGTGATGGTATTGAGATGTGATCAATTTGTTTGATTTCGATTCTCAAGGACAATAACAGTTATGTAAACATGTATTATGAGGATGTGGATGGGAGGTCCTTCAATTATGTGTTCTGTAATTTTTTAACCTATTTTTTTGTATATTTTTTGCCCATTTTTCCCTATTCTGTATATGTTAGCCCCCATTATACTGTATGGTTTATTTTTTTGACCGTTTTTCTCATTACTTCTTTATTTCTTTTTTTTGTCCTTTTTCTCTATTCTTTATATTGTGGTCCATTATTCTGTAGGTTTTGTCCATTATTCTCTTTTCTATAACCCCATCCAGACTCTCATGTATTATTGTATTTAGCAATGTAATATGCAACAAGGAGAAAAAAGACAAAGCAAACAAATTTGGACAGGTGTTTATCCTACACACTTTATTTCATTTTTTGGACCAACTCGTCTGGTATCTTAGACTGATTTTTGACTGCAGAATGAAATAGATTAAATCTTTAAAAGCTCTGATTTTTCGCTTTATGTATCCAATATGCTTTTGTTAAACAAAGAGGACTAACCATCTTCCATTACCGGTTTAACCAGTATGTATACATTGTTATTGCTGTTTACATTCAAACTCATCATACTCAATATGATATAAGTAATCCGATCTTATCAAAATTATTCAAATGCATATGATGAGTTATTCCTTTCTATACTGTCTTGGTTTATGGACATTTCTTACAATTTTGACAACTACATTATTTTAACGAATCAACTCTGCATAAGTTTAAACGATCCAATCACCCTGGTAAAGATGTTCTTAGTTGACATTTACAACTTTTAGTAGGCCATGTAGGTAATCGTATTCTAAATTTTAAATTTACAGGATTTACTTGTCGGAATTTCTAATGTGGAGCATAAATTGATTTTAAATTACCCAATGTTTAAGAAAACAAATGTCTGTTATATTATCTGAGTTAATTGTTGTCTTAATACTACATACATCTGTTCATTTGATATGTGTACTTCAATTGCTTAGAATATTAGGAACTTAATTCATCTACATCAACACAATATCAAAAGTTTTAAATGTCGAAGGTTTGAAAGGAATAGAAATAACCCTACATCCATGAATTTTTTTCTTTGGTCGGGACTATAAAAATATTATCAAAGAAAGTCTACTATGTTATGCATTAATTCCAAAGAATATTACACCTTTTAAAACTAGTTCCTTAAAGGCATATATCTATTAATCTAAACAGACGAATCATCAATCAACTGCTCAATGTCTGACAAAAAACAACCCACGATTCAGGTCGCAAAAATGGAACTATTAACCTTAGAAACAGACCACACGAGGAGAGATTATACCAAGAAGGCCCATAACAAAATTGAAATAGACATAAACATAGGATTTTTGGAACACATTAAAAAAATACATCCTGGAAAATAGAAAAGGACCGGACTGTTAATAATTACAGACGAAACCTTTTATAAGCATTCCCCTGTGTGTTTTCATGCGAGATTATATCAAATAATTCGAATGTCTTAAAAAAGGATGAACGTCAATTTCATCCGAGTAGAATTTCCATTCAGGTTTTAGAACTTTTTAAAACATGGTTCTCTAACCATAATTCGAATCAACCATTTTTAGTGTACAGACACAAGTCTACATTGTGAAAGAACAGATCTTGACGTCTCTTGTTTTATTTTTTTGTTTCGTAGAGTTGCACACCTCCTTCCATTCTTAGAGTGTTCAATGGTTATCATTTTCAATCCGTATATAATATTCAATGAATTAATCAACGTAAGAATGGCATCTATAGACTAAATACGGGTGTTAAGTATTTGAAACGAACTTCCCATAACAAAGTTTTATAAATCTTGACATATGTTTTGACCGTTTCATCTTGTGAGCAAGTACTAAATGTGCTGCCACTAATTTGAAATCTTTGTTTTCAAATTTTTTTCGCCTGTATAAAAGCTATGAAAACGGTAGATTCTATTGGCAAAAAATTACAGAATAGCTTGAGCTTGGATGAAATCTAGATGGAATGCCGTAACATCTATGTAATAGTACCTCTCGAAATCGGAGACAACTTGAACGAAGGTTTTTATGATTACCCGCCCCCTGAAAGTAGCTTGGCTCCCTAAACCGTACAGTAGTAAGGTCCCTACAAATTTGAGTCAGTTTGGCTTAGTCACTCTCGACCCAATTTGGGTATGAATTCAGATAGTGTTTTGGAAATACAAATGATTTACTCTGTACAAAAAAAAAAATCCTGCAACTACTCTTCGGGTCCGTAGGGGACACTAATAATCTTGTCCAGTCAAATGTAATCTGGTTTTTCAATGGCAGTTAAACTTTATACATCTCCTTTGCGGTTCAACCCGCAACTCAAATTGTGACAATCGAGATATTGGTGCTTTGTTTTCGTCTTAGATGAGTATGAAATATTTGCCACTTGACATCGATCAGTCAACAGTAAAATCCATATCGTATTGTTTTGCTGGACAAAATAAACCAATGTCTACCATTCAATGTAAATTATCATTGCATGCTATCATTTTTACAGACTTCGTATATCGATATTTTTAAATCTATTCATTGCTTCATTTCCTTTTTATGTTTTTTAAATGTTCAAAACGAATTTAAGTAGCTTCACTTTTATTATACTTAACCTACATATTGTTTTCCCTTTGAGTAATTTCAATAATCTCTTGGTTTCTTTTTTATAATTATTTTCTTTCAAATAAACATAAAATTTTAAAAAGGATGTTTTGTTATTGCTCTGTTGTCTATATAGGCAACAGATTCAAATATATATACGTGTTGAATGTCTAGTCCAATATGCCGTAACTTCAAATAAGGCTTCCAGTCTAATTTCGACTCCTTACGGAGCAATTTGTCGTGTCTGGTGTTTTTCAAACCCTCTATACTAATACCCCCGTAAGACCAAATGGTAAGTAGCCGAAGCACGCAATGGTATGCCTAAGCACCAGATAAAATATCAAGTGCCATATAGCCTTACAAATCAAACGGACAAGATATTACTCTACAAAACTTAGATAATTACCACTGTGTTGTAGAGGCTTTGAGTAAATGAAGTCGTAATTCATCTATGACAACTTCCATTCACAAATCGATAACGTCAATGGGATAATTACTTGTTGCAAAATGCTAGAATTATTATGTTCATATCACAATTTCAGAAATTAACGGGTAGTTTTTATAAATTGCGGAAATCTCATTTCAGCATCGAGTCTTTTTGTCTTTACCCAGAAAATGAATCAAAGACTACCAAGTGCGATGGCGTTTATAAAATAAATGCAAACATAACATTTAATTCCTATCATATACGTGGGTTTTGGTGGCATTGTTTTGTAAGAAAGTACTGACAAT